CCCCAAAACCCCAAAACCCCATCTGATAATTATAACTGCCATAGTATGATAATTGAATAAATAACTTTAAGTAGGCTAAATCATTTGTTAAATATCCAAAAAATATCACTATTAGATAAGAATATTCTTGAATCGTGATCATTTTTCATTGTGAGGGCATCTGTCTTTAACAGTCCACACTTTTAATTTTTACAGATTGGTGCCCTCGTTATCAATTGATCTAACAAAGGCTAAATCAGAAGGCCCAGCAGTGTAGCTGCTTGCAGTTGGGTCAATAGCAATCATTCCAAAAATACAGTTGTTTTTGTATGAATTAGACACGAATTCTGAGATGCTCTTAGACTTTTTCAATTCACTATTCCAGTCTTTGTTATTTAACTATGGATTTATCTAGCTGTTTGTATCAAAGGCTGCTACAAATACTCCTTATTTCTGATTTGAATCATAAATATTAAAGCAGTCAGTGCAATTGAAGGTAATGGGAATATCTGCTCCTGATGAACTATAGCTTGTTACCATCCACATCTTGTTAGAAAATTATTCCTCCAGAGTTGAATAAATATTCTCTCCTAGTTAATCTAATGGTTTTTTGAACTGATTCTTCATCTCTATCTTGATGTTGTTTTTAGCATTAATCATAGTTTGATTCAATGCAAGAGTATACATGTCAATAATACTGTTGAAAGATTACTCCATCTGATCTTTGAACCTATCCTAGACTTCTTAATGCTTGGAGTAATCATTACTTGCAAGAATTTAGCAGGCTGAAGATAGGCTGACACCTAAAGTAGCCAGCTGCATTGTGTAACCATTGGTCATCATGAGGGGATTTCTCCAGCCTTTGTAAAGACCCATCAAGTCATTGTCATAAAATATTTGAGGCAGTTTGCAGATGACTTTCTTTTCCAATAGATTAGTTTACCCTAACATTATCTCAAGCAAGTGTTTTGAAGCACTTTCGGTTAATAATTCAGGATTATTGCAACTTTATAGGAAATTATCTTTTAGCAATGGGTAATATCCAATTGTCTGATACTTAATCATTTCATATAGACTGTCAAAAGCATTAAGAATATTCTCGCTCGACTTTTAATATAGTAATTAGCAGTCGAAATTATTAGTATTAATATATATTCCCAAGGAAACAGCATCTTATAGTATAGTATAGCTATCAAGCTATTTCTTTATATCATCGAGATTGTAAACCAAAAAGTCAAGATCCCATGGCTCTTATCCAAAAGTAGCATAAGCAAGGCCGAGTGCTGATAGGGATCCCATATTCTGATGTAAATTAGAGATTTCTTTAAAAATCGAAGGAGATGTATCATTAGTCACTTAAGTTTGAATGTTCAGGCTTAAATTTCTCAAGTTTTCCAGAGTTTTAACACTTGCCTGAGCTGAGTCTTAATATTATGATTTTGGCTGAACACTACCAATTATAAGAGTAAAGAATGGTAATAGTAATCTTCTCATTTAGAGGAATCTGGCAATAATGTACTTCTTAGATTATATAATTAAATTATACAAGAAAATCCATTATTGTATGTTTAATTAATGTTTGGGGTTTTGGGGTTTTGGGG